TTTTTTTCACTACAGAAGCTTCAAAATAGGCAAAATTCAGAAAACAACTCAGAGACCCCCCCATCATATCCACTTTACCTCACTCCGGCAAGACTTRCTGCAGCAGAGCCACCATCTTCACTGCTGCTGTGCCCTATTCCCATCCTACAAGCTAGCCCCCTCACTAGTAGGACGCTTGATATCCAACCATCTATTCATCCCACTCAACCTCTTTTTGGAAAAATAGCCCCACAGAACAATCCTGCCTCCATCATTGAAGGGAAGAAACGCAGACTGATCTGGGTGAGTTAGCGGCCAGTGGCCGGTACCCGCCGAAATTTCAGGGCCAATCGCATCCACTACCAACTTCCTCCTTTCCAATCACCTCCGTCCTTCCCAACTCCGTCGTCGTGAAGAACTTCAGAGAGCCTCTTCTCCGCGGGGGCCGGGCACCATCATCACCTGACATTCTTTGTCCCCACAAGAATCCCTGTCTCCGTTGTCAAGGTGGTGAACTAGCACTACCCAACGCCAATCGCGCCAGAGTTCCCTCTCATCAGCCGGTACCCATCAGCCAGTGTAAACTACCTGACTCCAATCGCATCTGATAAGAGGCCCCTCTAGCCGGTACCCATCGAGCATCCCTATTTCCTCCCCCTCTCCGCCCTTGTAAAGAATCATTTGATGCCCCTGGCCTCTTACTTCAAAGCAGGTCCCCAAAAGTTCCACAAGATGTTCCGTTAGGTTTTTAATAGGAGAAAAATGAGATGCCAGAGCCATTACCCGGCCTTGGCTCCCCTTGGATAGGGAGAAGACTTATGATAAGGTGGGGTGGGCGTTTGCGTCCACCACTCGAGCCAAGATGGGCTTCGGGCCGGGATTTTCTAAGTGTATCCATGCTACGTATGCCAATGAGATTTCGACGGTCATGGTCAATGGCCATACCTCAGAAGAATTTAAGCTTACTCGATCCCTGAGACAAGGGTGTCCCTTCGCCCCTCTCATGTTTGTGATGCAGCTGGAAACATTGTTAGATAATATTAGACATAATGACAGGATCACGGGTCTCGGATTGAGCCCCTCCTTGCACTGGAAAGGGGGTGCAATCGCAGACGACCTAATGGTCTCCTGTGAAAACTCTACCGCTTCCCTAAAAGAACTGTGTAGAGTTTTGGACGAATAATGTGTGCTTTCTGAAGCTTCTAGAAATTGGTCTAGATTGGTGTATACCCTGCCTGACTTGTACGAGCTCAAAGTGGACTGGGGACTGAAACTGGTCCCTTCAGAAAACTCTGAAAGGTTCCTGGGGATCCAAGTCTCATTGTCAGACTGCTATAAGACGCAAGATCAGTTGCTGTCAGACAAGGTTTCAGCAAGAATACGTAGCTGGGCACGTAACTACAAGCTCTCAGTCTTTGGCTGGGCTTTGGTATTATCGGCCGCCACTTTCTCTGTCTTATGGTTTCTTTTGTCTATCGGTTTGCTGGGGGACAGTGCCTATAAAGAAATCTGGAGAGTGGCGGCAAGATATTTGTGGAAACCTGAAGCAGTAGAAGACCAGGGCCACATTACCAAGCTGGCTTGGGAGGCGGTTTCCCGGCCCAGATCACAAGGGGGTTTGGGCATCCTGGACCTCCAGAGGCAGAACCTGGCCCTGCTGGCTAAATGGGTTGTGAAGGCCTGCTTTGATGACCCGACTAAACTGTGGATCCGAATTGCAGAGTACATCCTGGGCAGGGAATGGTCAACCCCAGGCTGAAGAGAGTGTTGACGGCTTTGTATGCTACCGAGCTTCTCCGATAGGCGCATGGAATCCTAGATCTGGAAAGGTATTTTATGTGCCTGGCATAAAATCTGTCCTTCCCCCCTGTCCTAGCCTATTACAAAATTAGAAATTGCTAATCAATGTTAAGCCTCAAACATTTGTTTGTGGACATGGGGCCTTGCTCTGCTGCAGAACATTCTGAATTATATATCTAGAGCTGGTGCATTTGGAACATTTGATCAGGCCGAATGCATCTCGTTCAGATTTCAGTCCACATACGCATAGATATGGGACGCTGGGCCCAGTTCCCAGCACGTGCTGCTCCCCACGAATTACGTTAGCGCCTTGCGGCCCGCGGATGGCAAGGCCCGCCCGCCAGGCACCGCACGAACCTCGCGGTTGCCGCTTCGAGTGACCATAGCCGTGCGACTCGAGCGTTCACGGCCCCAGCTTTCGCCAGCTGAAGTGGGTAGCCCCACATGGGATCTGGAGGACGCAGTAACGCCAGCGTACTGAAGACAACGACGTGGACGGGAGGTTTTGCCACGACAGCGACAAGGTCAACGGGGTCAACACGGTCAAAGATGTCGATGGGCACGACTGAGGCTTTACTTCAGGGCGCTGCCCAGTGGCTTTGGTTTCTTCAGACGAGTCATGACCTTCTCCGACAGAAAGTGGATGAAATGAGGCCGGTGGCTGATGGGGGGAACACACTGCCATATCTCACACACCAGAGCATGATGCAGAGCCTTGTGCACATTATCCCGAAGCTGGAGGAGGGGCCAACTTCTTATTTGGCAAGGTTTATTGACCAGCGACAGGCGGCGACCTTGATGCGACACTGCTACTTAGTCTTTGAGGAGGGGCAAGCATTGTGCGCTGTGTCCATGGAACACTGGTATGCTCAGTTGGATCTGGAGGAGGAGGACGATTCGCCATCATCACCTGCAACACCTACGCAAGTGGCAGGATGTCCATGCATCGGCATCAACAGAAACAACAACAACAACAACAATAACAACAACAGCAACAAGAACATCAACAATAATGACAACAATGGCAATATCGTTGCTGCTGCTGCCAGTCCCTTTCATGGCGATGCTGGCGACAACGGCACTATCATTGCTGCTGCTGCCGGTCCGGCGATTCTGGCGAGATTGGCGGCATCATCAGTCATGACAACACCAACAACGTTGTTGTCGGTGTGATCTCACGGTCGTGTGTTGATGAAAGAGGCAGCAACAACAACAACAATGACAATGACAACAACAACAGCAACAGCAACATCGTCAACAACAACAACAACGGTATCGCAAAGGCCGCCAGTTTTGGTAACGGTGATTTTGACACTGGCGAGATCGGCGGTACCATCAGCTACAATAACAACAACAATACTGATGACGACAACAACAATAATAACAGCAATTACAACAACAATAACAGCAACGACCGAATCATCGACAGGCCGACTAGCGAAATCGACATCAACAATAACGCGGTGAGTGCGTCGGGGGCCAGGCGGCGGCTCTTTTCTCCTCTTGCCCCCTTTTCTTCTCTGTTCTGGCCGCCGCTTATTGAATGGGTTGTGTGGAAAGGCGCACTGTGGTGGCGAGAAGGAGTGAGGTAGGGATAGTACTTCCAGTTGGGTTTTGTCGACAGGTGATATTGTCATATCTTCGCGGCTTCGCCTGTCTTGTTTCGATCGACGTTTGCCCATTACGAATTTTGATGGGCACGCCAATCACAATGATCACAAGTATCTGCCATGTGGCGGGCCGGGGG